TCATGCCTGAGTGAGAATTTGAATCTAATCCAACAAGCATAAGCAATCATTCCTACTTCAGTAGGAAGTCGGCTTCAGTGTAAATGTACCTGGCTAAAAAAATGTCTTTACCTGCTAATGGAAGAGCAGCAGAGATGGAGCTAACTTATTTTCCCTTTGTATGGAGGTCCTACCCCTTATGACTGAGGACCTGATTAGTTACATGATTGACAATACATAGCTTTGTTTTCTGCTTTTTCCTTCTTTTTAAAAAGATGAATAGGATATAAACAGTAAAAAGCAGTGTAACACACAGAATTAACATTGAAAGAGGTGGGAAAACCTACACAATATGGGAGTATACATAAATACATAGCTACTCTTAGGATTAAATTTTACTGTATATTTCTGTCCAGAATATATACAGTATGTGTGTATTTGTACAGATGTTACCTATTAAGACATTGAGACTATCTTTGAATAAAACTATCCTTAGTTATCATATGACTCAAGACTCTGCTCTTGTATTAATTCTCCCAAACATTTAATACTTCTGATCCAAAGAAAGATGCACAGTTGTCAGTCTTGTAAAAATAGGCCAGCAAGGTTCAATAGCATCCTCATAAACCTTCAAAACTGCATTGCTGATTTTCTAATAAAATATGATTTCCTCCAAAATTAGCTCCCGTGTCATTAAGAATGGGTATCAGCCATTGGGATGCCTATTTTTTTCAAAATGAATGCCAGAAATGAAATAAGTTGGCTCCAGACTGGTGCTTAGGAAGACTCTGCTTGGTGCCCCAAATCCTCTAGGTATAATTTTAATAGCTCACAGCCTTTTTTCCTTTAAGAATTTGGGTGACTTCAGCCTTGAACAGAACAGAACAGAGAAATGAAAAAGGGACTTTTTTTTAGCTGCTTGCATTTTTCAGGAGTACAAAAATGTTGAGAGAGAAAAGGGAATAGGGATAAAGGGTTTTTTTTGTTTGTTTTACAAGTCTTGCTGTTTTCCATGGTGAATGTTTTCAGAGTAGCCAAGCAGAAATGGAGGCTCTAGAACCTGGGATAGAACAGATTCTGCAGAAGTTCAGTTTGATGAACGAAAACGTTTTATTAGCTTAAAAACCAAGTACAGTGGTTTTCAGTCATTCTACAAGGAGCACTTTCTGCATTATCTGTTGAAAAGCTCTCAGCCTTCTGCTAGGAAACCTGAGCACATTGCAGAAAATGAGGTCACATTTTCTAGAATACACATGCAATTCATTCTGGGAAATTCTCTGTGCCATAAGAAATGAGTGATATGTGACATCAAGAAATGGGTTTTCCATTGTCTTGTTCTTGACCTAAAAACAGGCCATCAGTAAAGCATATTGGATTTAACACAGCGACCAGGGAAGAGAAAAACAAGTTCTTGTTTTTTCTGTCTAAGCCAATATTAGCACTACTTGGAGATGGGAGGTTCATTCATTCATTCATTCATTCATTCATTCATTCATTCATTCATTCATTCATTCATGTACATTCATATAATTTATATATCTGCCCATCTCATACAAGTGACTGTGGGCAGCTTACAAGATTAAATTAGATAAATGTAATATACTTGTTTCCAATTAGATGTGTTGGACTGCAATTCCGATGTGTTGGACTGCAATTCCGATGTGTTGGACTGCAATTCCGATGTGTTGGACTGCAATTCCGATGTGTTGGACTGCAATTCCGATGTGTTGGACTGCAATTCCCCCTACTTGGAGATGGGAGGTTCATTCATTCATTCATGTACATTCATATAATTTATATATCTGCCCATCTCATACAAGTGACTGTGGGCAGCTTACAAGATTAAATTAGATAAATGTAATATACTTGTTTCCAATTAGATGTGTTGGACTGCAATTCCCATCATTCCTGGCTAGCTTGTGATTGGTTCACAAGTAGTCCAATACCTGCTTATAAGTATCCTTTTTTCCATTGTCATAACAGCTGTGAGAGGAAATTTGACTATGGAAATGCTATAATATGCTCTGTTCAGGCCCAAACCGGAGTCCTGCTTTTAACTTTTCAAAAATGTTTAATTGAAAATCTCTTGTCTAAGTTAATTTATTGTCCTAACTGTGCTTTCACATGTACCCAGCACCTTTTCCAATTGTTCTATAGTCCATCACAACTCCACAATCACAATACAGATATTATTTAAACATTAAAAACATTTTACAGTTGCATAGCAAAACAAGACTGTTGCTCCAGTGATGGGTGTGTTTGCATAGATTTAATGATCTTTGCATTTGTAATCTGGCTTTCCAGGTGTTGCCAAATGACAACTGCCAGCTGTCCCACCCACAGTGACCATAGCCATGGTGAATGAAGCTTCTGGGAATCATAATTGAGCGGGAGGACATAGATTCTCCATCTCTGGAATAGTTATATGGCCATCCCAATTCTCTTCCATTTACTTTGGTCCACAATATTGATTTACTATTGAACAGTTTTCAAAAGTTAAGAAAAGCAGCCTGTTGTTGCAGGAGTGGGCAACTTGTAGGTCTCCACATAGTTCTGAAACACAGCCTCCAGCGCTGCTCCTCATTGATTGTCTGGTTGCAGTGATTAGTGGTTGCAGTTTGATAACATTTGTAGGACACCAGGTGTCTAATTTCTACTTTACAGTCTTAGGATTTAGATGGCATTTCACATTCAGAAAGTCATCTAGAGCATGAAAAATTACTCACTGTATTTAAATATTTAGTCAAATTCTTTGTATTATCTAGTCACAGAACATTTCATAACTTTCTCAGAATTAAGACCTTCACCATATAAACATATAATTAATGACAAATGGATTCAGCAACTTTTGGAATTTATCGCAACACTGAAAATGAATCAAATTTATTTTAAATAGCTCTTTTTTCTTGAGACTACTCTTGTTTTTCCATAAGAGCCTTTCAAGATTCAAGACTGCTCTTGTTTTTCCATAAGAGCTTTTTAATTTAATTTAATTTTTTAGTATTATATTATTATATATTAATTAAAATTATTAAAATTATTTTAGCAATTACTTGCCTCTAAGCCTTTATTTTTACTCAGCTGAAATAATGTTGCCATTATTTGTCTAATATATTAATCAGATTAGTTATCTCTTTGACATATTTTTGTTTTTTGTTTTGATGTGGCATTATTCAGTATTAGCTGTCTGCTCCAGATTTTATTATTTGATTTTATTTTATTGCCACCAGAGGGTAGTCTATGCCTACAATATATATACAATTCAGACAGTTTGAAATTACCATTTGGAATGGATTTCCTCCTTTTCTCAAGCTTGAAATTTCTGTTCAGTCTGTAAATAAAACATGACTGCAGCAGTTAAGAAAAGTTGCTATTTTGAACATATTAAACTCTGCATTAATCTTGCACCCTTTCTCTCTTTTTCTCTGGGTGCATGTATAAATAATTAATTAAAATCAGGCCATT